TATTCTGATTATGTGTTAAAGGGAAGAGAGAATGGTTGGCGAGTGCTCTGGTGTGGTTAGCATCTTAATTCCTATCAAACATCTAGTGTCCTCATCTATCCTTATTTTTCATATTCGTCACTCTCTTGTAACACCTCTTATCTTCAGCAATTGTGGGACCATATTGTGTTGCAAGTACCGTAAAACTCTTAGAAACACTAAAATGAAAGAAAAAGACAGACAAAAACACAGACTCAGATAGATAGATAGATAGAGAGAGAGAGAGAGAGAGAGAGAGAGAGAGAGAGAGAGCCATACCCGCAGACAGTCAGGCAGACAGACTGGCGGGCAGGCAGACGACTTATCTGAAATGAAGACATTAAAAGAAAGACTGAAAAAGATAAAGAAATAGTCCATCACTCTTCTCTGTACTCAGACGCCATTTGGTAAGTGTCAAGATGTGCACCTCTGCTCTCTTTATCTGATTATTTCATTTTTGTTTTTAACTCAACATAATATGCATAAAAATATGGTGATGTGCAAACACGTGTGAAGTATATAATTCATCCAAGACGTTTTCAAATGTTCAAGATACAAATCTTTTAGTCTTTTCCGTGAGAATGGATATGGGCACCCATCTATCACGCTCCAGAACGGAACCTTTTTATTTCAGATTATATAGTCGCTTTGGTCAGCCTTAGTATATATACAGATGTATACAGATAAATATATATATTACATTGTAATATGATGGGATGGGATAAGTATCTTTAGTGTCCTAGAAAATAAGGCATTCTGACAGACAGACAGACAGACAGACAGACAGACAGACAGACAGACAGACAGACAGACAGACAGACAGACAGACAGACAGACATATAGATAGATAGATAGATAGATAGATAGATAGATAGATAGATAGATAGATAGATAGATAGATAGAGAGAGTGAGATAGATAGAGAGAAAGAGATAGAGAGAGAGATAGAGAGAGAGATAGATAGAGAGATAGACAGAGATAAGAGAGAGATAAAGGGCGGGGTATAGAAAAACATTAGCGTATAATGTAAGTTAATTCGACTGTACCTAATATTATGTTGGTCAGGGTTCTCGGGGAAAAGTTCCTTTCGAAACAACAAGTTGTGTGCACGACTACAAATAATTTAGGCCGTTTGAATGATATCAATGTACTATCTAGTGACGTAAGACTACCTTGTCGCTCCAGCTGACAAGTCAAGGGTTTGAATGACAGGGTCAGTTTTCTACTGATACTGGCAGTTAACTAGTTCTACTATTTTTCTTTTATCGAGTTGACCCGCGGTGCACAACATTATCGATGAAAATCAGTTATGTGTGGAGTTTGGTTACACGTTGAAAAAAAATTGCAGTATAATGTTGTAATCATTGAGATTCGTTAATGATGGATACCACAAACGAGACAAGAGGTAAATTTATAGATCAGTGTGTGTGTGTGTGTCTGTATGCGTATGTGTGTGTCTGTTTGTGTGTGTGTCTGTGTGTGTGTATGTGTGTGTATGTGTGGGTGGGTGGGTGTATTTGTTTGTCATTGTGTCTACGTGTGTGTATGTGTATATATTATGCCTGTGAATATCACAAAGTTTGAGTGAGAGGCAGGATTTATGTATTTGTGAGTGCATGAGTGTGCGTCTGTGTGTGTGTGTGTGTGTGTTGTGTGTGTGTGTGTGTGTGTGTGTGTGTGTGTGTGTGTGTGTGTGTGTGTGTGTGTGTGTGTGTGTACAGGGTGTGTGAAAGAGAAAGAGAGATAATGTGGGGATGGAGGAGGCTTGTTTAATCATGTGTTTCGGGTATTGATGAAGAAGTACATTTGTACGTCCATGTAATATTTGTTTCATGAGGTATACATTCTCATCCACAGAGTGATAATGTGCTGTACAGTGCAATCTGTTAACATTATACTCATTGTTATCATTATCGTTATCATTTTTACTATTATTATAACCAAATACAAATATTTCAATTCTTCCGAAGCAACTAATAAAGCCAGACGAATTTACACTCAATGAAAAGATTATCTACAATTGCTGTATGAATCCCATGATCAAAAACCCATCTAAAAACTAATAATAGGAGATTTACCCGAAATCTGCCACATCTCTGAACGACTAGAAAGTCGTTTAATGTTTCTTATTTATATCTCCCCAGCGCAACACGGTAAGATGCGGGCAGCATGTTCCTGCGGTTTCACTTTTCGTTTCGAAAGAATCAAAGACATAATATAGCAATCAAAGACGCATTATCAAGAGCTTACGTATCAACACGATAGTGATTTTAAAACATGGACAGTTGAATATGTGGGTTGGATCAAAATCCGGCCTCGAGATATTGGGTTTCAAGCGATTTTCTATTGTGCTGAATGTTCATATTCTTATACAGTACGTTTTTTATGAGCATGTATTTTATCGGTGAGTCTGCGAATAGCATGCATCTTTAAGAAAGAGAAAAGGTAAACAAGGGTTATGGGGAGAGAGAGAGAGAGAGAGA